ATTCAGTGGTGATATTGTAAGGAGAAATTAGATGCTAGTCACTCTTAGGGGTTAGTTTTGCATCTGATTAGTTGAGAGGATGATGCAAGTTTTCTGGACCAACCACAGAGCAAAGTAAAGTTAAAAAAAAAAAAAAACACTCCCTGATTATTTTCAACACTCAATTGAAAGTTTCTCTATTAGCCCTTCATCATCATCATCATCACCTCATTAGGCCCTGTCTGCTTATTTCCTACATAGGTGGCTCCAAAATGATATGCTCCTGGCCCCATACTACTGAGCTGAAGGGTGTGGCTGACTTGAAAGTGGTTGCTTAGGCCTTTATTGATAGCTAGTTTACAGCCCTCAAACGGCTGAGGGAAGACGTCTGAAAAATTCAAATTACAAAGAATATAAATTAGCACAATAAAGATTTATCATTGACAATGTTGAGTTAAAAAACATGAACTGGGAAACTAAGAATACTGTGAATACTTTGAAAATTACATTGGATTTATCATTGACATTGTTGAGTTACATAACAGAACCTGAGAAACTCAGAATACTGTGATCATGTTGAAAATTATAATGAAAGTTCAGATATCACAAAAGCCAACACCGCATTAGCACAACAGTATTTTCAAAACAAAGTTACTCAAATGAGTCTGTAATTTCAAACTACGAAATGGAGGGACCAAAAATATAATTGCTCCTAACAAAATGAAGAAAAACTTTAGGATGAAATGCAGTGAGGGGGAAGAAAATGTCTACAAGGATTCTGATTAATCACAAAATTCTCAGAACTAAAACTATAAGAAATGTACTGCATACAGGGAGGAGAAATTCAATCTAGATTTCGAGAGTAAAGGGTTATGCAAGAGGAAGATTTTCATAGTGGAGGGTTAAGTTTGGTCACCAAGCTTTCTAAGAATTTTGTAGAGGGAGTGTCTCCCTCTAATTTCTTCTTTGATGAAAAATCACATCTAACCTTTCCATTTGCAAGATCTCATAAGAAATTCTCCTCACAATCTGCTGTACACTTCTTATAATGTTAGTTTTGGAGACGTTAGTATTGGATCATCTAAAAATCCCCCAGGTGATATTTTTCTCTACTCTCACCACTTGTCTGCTTGATTTTGAATTAATATGTCATAATAATATTGTCATTCATGGGAGTTAAAGGGTTAATCTTTCATGTGGCAGATGATAGTAGGTGAGGCAGAGGATCCAGTATATTTGACCATTTAGCTTGATATCCATAGTAATATTTTTCTCTAGGTACCACAGAATGTAATGTAAATCAGAGACCACTGAAACTGGCCAATCAAGTGGTGTTGTAAACATATTCGTGTGGTCAGTTTCAGTAAGAACTCTACTTACTCTTCCTGGTGGGGTAAGAACGGAAGGGGGTGGGGTGAGGACATTGTCGAAACTATGTAGGAATTTTTAATCCATGTACTTTTGTGTACCTGAAAATTCTTCATGCCCTTCAAGATTAAATGTTTAGAGCGAGTAAAACAGCAATTTTTTCAAAATATCTCATTTGCGAAGTATGTTCGATTTTAGTGAAACAGAATTCAGTAAAGATCGCTGTGATTGTAAATCCATTCTGACTACTAATTTCCACGTAGTAAGGAATATTAAGAGCAAACTTGCACAAACTCCCAGAAAAATCTACAGAAATCGCGAGAGACAAACGGCTGTAAAAACGAATAAGTAAGCTTTAAGATTGCCTAGTCTAGATTTACGATAAATTACATAATCAGACAATCCAAATGCGCCATGAAGCCGGTGAAATTTTACGAAGCCTGACGATCTTTACCCTACCTTTACACGACTTGTGTAGATCTTCATACGTTCCAGGGTTGCTATTGGATGGTTTTTCATCCGGCTGCGGCTTTGGTTCAACAGGGGGAGCTGCCGTAAGCGGTGGCGGCGGCGGCATCGATGCAACATTGCTGGGAGATGAGGGTTTTGACGGTGAAGCCGCGAGTACATTCCCCATCTTTGATCGTGTGAACCATGTGCAAATGCTGATGTAAGGCTCTGATTGGCTCTTCGATATATTAGCGTCCGCATTGGAACGGGAGAGACTAGGTCTAGTTTTAGTGAGCCTGCAGTATTGGCACTGCAGCTACATCATCGCCGAGAAAACGTGTACTCGACCTTTCAGAGATTATTGCAAGTGTTGTTGAAATTTTTCGAAAGTTTGGGGGTCGTACTTTAAATTTTACAGATGTTTGTTTGAAATTATGGAAGAAAAAACCAATGAACTGCTTTTTAAAGACATCGATGCAGATGACGAACCACAAACCAATGCAGTGGAAAGTTTGTGCATGAATTGCCATGAAAACGTGAGTCTAAAAATTTCCACTAAAATGAAATAGATAAAATAAAATAAAAATAGGATTAATATATATTTTACTCACCAGTTAAAACTTAAAATGGTTTTCTTTCAAAAGCATTAAAATTTGATTTATCGCTGCATGATTAGTATACAATTGGTTTGTCTCCTTCACGTAGTTTTGATCAAATTTTGTACAGTACAGCTCTGTTTTAAGGTACACACTCTTCATTGATTAACAAGCCAGATCTCAGTAAAAATTCTGCCTTTAAAAATGCGAGATATATGGGAGTTAACAAAGATCAATGCTAGGATTCGAAAACATAACTGAAAAAGTGTTTCCTAATTAGCTTGTGAAACGTGGATGTTCTTGATTTGCCGTCATCTTGCTTGTAATCTAAGTTTCATTTTAGTTTTCTCATTAAGAATTGGAAGTACTGTCGCTTTATTGTGAGAAAAAAGGAGGAAATCATCTCCAAATGATACGTGCAGTCTTGGACTGAAATGATGTGTGAGAGTTTGGAGTTCAAACATCTGTGTTTAAAATTGAGATGATAAACTCTTACAAGCCGACTACAGTGACTAAATTTTAATATAATGGGGAGGGGGTGGGGGGAGAAGGAAGGGGGTGTTGAAAGATATGCCTAGTTTGAGATGATAGCAATTACGTGTATGTATTCAACAGTTATTCCATTGTACATTGGACATGAGCTGGTAAATAAATAGCCAACAAGGCACTTAGCTCCAAGCTGGCCGTAACCAATCCTGAACATTTGGATATATGGAGCCTTGTTTTCAGCTCTGCAACAGTTAGCCTAATGCATTTCTACCTAAGGAAACTCAGAATATCAGCTGATAACTGGAATTGAGTGAACCAAACCACTCCCTTTTCATCAGCATTTCTCCATCTCTTAATTACAATTGTCCTGATGCAAAATAATCTATCTTCATTAGGGAACAACTCGAATACTTCTCACAAGAATACCATTCTTTAGAGAAGTTGTTCTGATGTCATTTGAATGTCCTCACTGCGGTTACGCCAATAATGAAATCCAGTCTGCAGGAAGAATTCAAGATATGGGATGCAACATTA